TAATTACAAAATGCCAACACAACAAAGGTGAGCCCGGAAAGGATTCTGAAAAACTCAGTATGTTCAACACAAGCTAAGTTCTCTTCAAAAGCAAATCCAACATGAGACAAAGATATCTAAATACCAAAGCAGAACATAATCTGAAGCACAAAGTAAACACTAAAAATTGGAAGTTCAAATTATAATACAGAATCATATAAGGAAGACATGGGTACTATTGATGTTTTCTTGAAGCAAATATGCATCAGCTAAAAGAGCTTTTGCAATTTTGCATCAGTTTCAGCCATACTGGCACACCCTTTCCTAACATCTCAATTGAAATCATTCAGCATTTTGCTGTTTGAGGTGATAGTTCTTGATTACAAATTTACTATTGTCCACTAAGTAATGGGTCCCTAAATGTGGAGCGAGGTAAAAAATTGACAGACAGTTGTTCTAGTAAATGACTAATTAAAATTAATTACCTATCATCAGATAGATAATAGAGATAAAAATCCTAATACAGAATGTCAAACTTCACCTACCACCCATGAGGAGTGCAGAGGCGCCGTGCCTTCTATTCCTTTTCCCAGCGGCCGATTCGAATGAAAAAAATTTATTAAAATCCATTGCTTAACTTCATGGTTATGGTGAGGAGACTGAAGAGAAAGTAGAGCCCTGAATGGTTAGAGTGAGAATCGGAGAAGCTTGAATCCGTTGCCGAAAAGGAATATAGGGGGAGAGGAGGTTTGAATCACGTCAGGGAAGTTTGAGACTAAGGCATGAGGACCGATTAAGCGGCGGAGATGTAGTTGGTTTCCGACAACGGAGAGACGGTACAGAGGATACTGAACGCGAGATTGATATTTGGAAGAGAGAGGAATCGAGTTTGAGGGGTAAGAGATAGAGTGTCGAATTTGTTTCATAGGGAGAGGAAGACGGACCGGACTGACAGAAGGGATAAGCAAAGAAGTCAAATTTCCAAATCAACCCTTGCAAACTGTGCGGGTTGTGGAGGAAGTGCTGAGATGGTAAAAGTCTTTTATTGACATTGCCTTATAGTAATCTGTAGATGATAGGGGCGGGAAACGGTGGGGTTACCGTTTTACTCGCATGGTTGTTATTTTTTCCTATGACTGACCAACTATTTATTGAAATGTGACTATAAGTGGGAAGTGGAGGTCATTTTGTTTTCAAACTTTTCTCCATGTAAGACGCAATGAAATCCCATTTCTCCATGAGTTTCTTCATCTATCAAATTCGGGAAAACAGTAATCATACATTTCTTCCTATTTTAGTATATTTATATATTTCTTTCTTTTATACTAATTGAGAACTTCATAATTAAGTAGTTGGGAATAACGGTAAAACTTAAAATAAGAAATTAGGGACCACCTACAATAACTTGGATATAATTTCAAGTCATGTAACTTGCATGAATCTATATCGTTAAAATATATTAAAATCAAATTAAACTGTTGATTACCAATAGTGGTAATCGGGAGTGTAGGTCATCACTTATAGAGGAGTGGGAAGATACTTTACAAGTTTTGTGTTGGTAATGAGGGATCCACATATTTATTTTTAATTTATGTAAAATAACTAAAGCGCGGAAGAAAAACAACACAACCAATTTGACGTGGTTTCCCCGTTCGGTGTGAACGAGACTACTCCACGGAGAGCTCCACAAGAGCTCTCGACTAAACTTTTATTATGAGCTTCTTGCTCTCAGGAACACACGGCCACCACAGTGCTAACCTAGCACATATATATGTAGCATAACCCTTTACAACGTGAACAACTAGGGTTAGCCAAACTAGGTGAATTACAATTTCACCACACAACTAATTAAAGTGTGACAACTAAGGACAATCGGTCAAGTTAGCCGAAATGCCACTCAACACTCCCCCTCAAGCGGAGGCGTGAATATCATGCATGCCGAGCTTGGAAGCAAGGAAGGCGAACTGATCACTACCCAAACCTTTGGTAAACACGTCCGCCACTTGATCACCAGTCGCAATCTTCCTCGGATCTATCTCCTTTGATGCTACACGTTCCTTGACGAAATGACAATCCATTTCAACGTGTTTTGTACGTTCATGGAAAACTGGATTCGCAGCAATGTGCAGTGCTGCTTGATTATCACAATATAACGGAGTAGGCTCCTCTGAATGTACTCCCAACTCCTGCAATAACCAACATAACCATATCAACTCACTAACAGTGACAGCCATCGACCTATGCTCCGCTTCAGCCGAAGACCTTGCTACAACTGCCTGTTTCTTCGTGCGCCACGATACTGGGCTATCTCCAAGTCGTATGAAATATCCAGATGTTGACCAACGAGTTTCAAGGTACCCACCCCAGTCAGCATCGCAATAAGCTGTCAAGGTGGAACTACTACTTGCTGACAAAAACAGACCTCGCCCAGTAGCACTCTTTAAGTACCGTAAAACTCGATATGCTGCCTCAACATGCTGCTGTCTGGGTGAGTGCACTGCCTTGCTCAATATGTTGACTGCATATGTGATGTCAGGCCGAGTTACTGTCAAATATAAAAGCCTTCCAACCAGTCTCCGATACGCTGAGGGATCGTGTGCTGCCGGACCTTCTACACGAGTAAGATGGTGATTCTGTTCAATGGGAAAAGAACACGGTTTAACAGCAAGAACACCAGCATCATCCAGAATGTCCAATACTTACTTTCGTTGAGACAATGAGATTCCATGCTTTGACCTGGCCACCTCAATTCCCAAGAAGTACTTTAATGGTCTTAAGTCCTTAATGTTGAACTCCTTCTGCAGAAAAACCTTCACCTTCTCAATAACTTCCCAACTGTCTCCCCCTAGGACGATGTCGTCCACATAGATGAGAGCGAAAACAAATACTCCATTTTCGCGATACAGAAATAATGAGTGGTCAGCTCGGGAACAGCTAAAACCAAACTGTAACAATGCCAACGTAAACCTCTAAATTTTCGTTCACAAACTGGTTGCCCATCTAGATCATAATCTATATGAGTATTCAAAGCAATGGGGGTTTTGCAAGAACTAATACTCATTAAATCGAATTTGGACAGCATAGATTGTAGGTATTTGGTTTGAGGAATGAAGATCCCAGAAGCAGTTTGATGAATTTGCAGGCCTAGGAAAAATGTTAATTCTCCGATCAAACACATTTCAAATTGATTTTTCATGGAGGAACATAATTCATCACACATGCCAGGGTCTGTGCTTTCAAAGACTATATCATCTACATAAACTTGCACAATCAAGGAGTGATTATTTTTTCGTTTAATAAAGAGAGTTTTGTCTGCCCCACTGACACCCTAAAACACAACACCTAACAATGGCCAAGTGTAACCAATGAAAGGGATTGCAGTAAAGTGACACAAGTAATAAATATCAAATCCACGGGTCTCTAGAGTTACTATTACTCAGCTTCAGTTCATTATCTAGCAAACTAGATTAAGGATTGATTTACTAAACTACTCTACTAACTACTCTACTAATTACAAGTTGGAAACTCACTTAGGTATGATTCCCCCTAGCTCCAAAATTATGTCCAAGTTGCAATTACCTTTGGTTAATCTACTGTTGATTAAACTGCGAAAGATCCTAAATTAGCTTGGAATCTCTTAAGCTGACCAAGCCCTCTTAGACAAAATACCCGACAGGAGACTAGCCTTCACCGGGATAGACTGCTAAGGAGATTCACATAGATCTCCACTACTAGAATGAATTCCAGTACAAAGCAGTGAATTGATTGACTCTCGCACAACCAATTCACCACTATCAATCAAGGAAGCTCTCTTAACATAATCAGATTCTATCTATCATAGGTTAAAGCAGAAATCAAGAGAATTTGATCAAGATTCAATTGACTCAATAAGTCATGCCTCAATCGATTATAATCAAACAATATAACATCCAAAACTTCATACAAGAAAGATCCTAACACATGGAACTAGGGTTCCTCAAAACCTAAGTGAAGGGAAGTTACTCCATAGAGAAGAGAGAGACTGCAGAAATCTGATATATATATATCTTCAATCTCTATCTCCAAGCTTGATTCCCGAGCTCCAATGGAGAAGAAATCCTCCAAAATAGCTCCAAGAATGTTCCCAAGTCGCTCTCTCTCTCTCTCTCTCTCTCTCTCTCTAGGGTTCGTCCCTTGGGTGTTTGGGAACCAAAACTCAGCTCTCCCTTTCCTTTGGCTTGAATCTGCCTCAAAAACCCGATTCTGGGAAAAACACAGTCGAGGACACGGTCGTGTTTTACATTTGCCCGCCCGTGTTTTGCCCCCAGCAGCCCTCACGACATGCTCTCGGCATTAAAAACACTAGCGGGGGCCAGATAAAACATGGTCGTGTTTTTAGGGTAGTCTGCCCGTGTTTTTTCTGCCGAACTTGTTCCCCTATATTCAATGCTTTGTTTCTCCCTCATATGGACTCTGAATTAGTCGTCGTTCGATCCCAGATGCTCGTGGACTTCTTACAGTGTTTACCTAAAATGCAAGCTTCACAAGAGAAGTTATCTGATGCCTTGATTATGGGCAGACCTCTAACCAGGTTGAGTTTAGAAAGTTTAGCCAAACGGGACATACTCATGTGACCTAGATTTCTATGCCAGTTAATTGTCGTGTCAGACAAGGAGCTTAAACATATATCCTCAGTGAGATCTAAGGTGGATAAATCAATTGTATACACATTATTGATTTTCTTTCCCTTAAAAATAGCAGCATTGTCAGAAATTCGTTCAATGATGCAGCAGAATGGATCAAATGTGACACGGTAAGTAGAACCACAAATTTGACTAATAGAGAGAAGATTATGCTTTAAACCATCAACATAAAGAATATATTCAATAATGATAGAGGAGTTGCTACTTATAGTTCCTTTCCCAACTACTGAAGCACAATTAGTATTACCATAGAAAACTTTACCTCCCTTTTTTGGATTTAGATATGAGAAAAGGTTTTTGTTACCCGTCATGTGATGCGAGCATCCAGAATTTAAGTACCAGATGTTAGCATCTTTATTATTATGAAAAGAGAAAAGAAGCTTAATTAGATGTTTTAACAACCCAAACAAGTTTGGGTTTTTGTTTCCTGGAATATCAATGATTAAAGTCATGTCCCGACTTCTTGCAGACAATACAAAACAAGGGATGCCTCCAAGTATAAGATGGATATTTATTAGTAAGAGGCTTAGGACTAAATCTAGAATTGATAAACTCCAGAGATGGATATGACATCATGGTATTTCTGTGCATTATTCTGTGACAGTTACCAATCACCCTTGTTAGTCTATTGTTTTCTGCAGTAAGGTTAGCAATTTGATTGTCTTGAGTAATTTGAGCAGCCTGTTGTACTTCGACAAGTTCTTTGAGACTTCTAACTTCTATTTCTTTTTCATGCAACTGACTCATAGTCAAACAGAACCTGCTTTTTAATCTATTGCACTCATCCTGAATATTTGAGAAAGCATGAAGGAAAAAATCTTCGTGGTGGGACTCAGAGAGTGAGTCAGAAGATGAGTCAGACCATACCTTTTCATTAAAATGTTCATCCTCAATGTTGGAGTTCAGTCCCATGTAGGCAACAACTTCTGATTCCTCCTCTGAGCTGTAATCACTATAGGAGGCGTCATTGCTTTTTCTTTCTTCTTGTTAAGTGGACAATTGGCTCTCATGTGATCATGTTTAAACTTGATAATTCTTTGGAGTTTTTTGCTGGTAAGAGCGAGTTCATTTTCAAACTCTTCATCCAGTTTTTCTCCTTCATTTGCATACACAGATTTAAATGCAATCGATTTGTTCTTCTTATCATGGAAAGAGTTCATTTGTTTGAGAACTTCCTCATGACTAAGAAGAGAGCCTATTAAGTTTTCAAGGGATAGAACATTAAGATCGTTAGCTTCCTCTATGGCAGTTCTCTTAGCCATCCATTCAAGAGGAAGTGATCTAAGAACCTTTCTAACAAGCTCTTTGCTTGAGAAAGTTTTTCCCAACCCTTTAAGTCGATTGACCAGGGTGGAAAATCTCTTATCCATTTCAGAAATAGATTCACCAGATATCATATCAAATGTTTCATATTCTTTTAAAGGCAAATCAATTCTAGTTTCTTTGACTTCTGAAGTTCCTTCGTGAGTTTTTTCAAGAATTGACCAAATTTCTTTAGCTGTTTCACATTTGTTAATTTTTCTCCTTCGTCGTCAGATATTGCAGAAAGCAAAATCTGCATTGCCCTAGAATCTAGTTGTGTACTTTTCTTTTGTTCATCAGACCAATCCTCCTCATCATCTTCTTTCATGTCAATTGGTCAATTTCAGACAATTGCCCACAATTCACAATGATTCCTCGGAGGTATAGTCTCATTGTCTTTTTCCATACTGAATAATTACTACCAGTAAACCAGGGAGGGTTTAAGCTAGTGGGGAATGAATTGGAAGACATAGCAAGGTAGAGGATCTCCTTCTCGGCAACACTTAGTTCCACGAAAAGGAGGCTCTGATACCTATTGTAAAGAGGATATGTGCCTAATTCCATTCCCTCAATGAAAGTAACCAAAGGATTATAACAATCAATCTATTCAACAAGGGGATGATGTCGTTTAAGAGAGGAGAGAAACTAAGAAGACCTAGCAAACTCACTTCAACAGTTATGAGAACAGAATAAATCCCTAAGCAGAGTACGAATTTAAAAGTAAAGAAGACAAGAACAGGAGCTAAGCCCAGATAAACTTGAGTTCCTGGCTGCAAGCCCCAACTCAAGCTATCCGGACACTTGAACTGAACCCAATCCAAATACTCTCAAAGAATTGACCCGTTCTTACTGAGTAAAGGAAACTGTTGCCTCTCTTCTTCCTGGAGAGGTCTTTAAATAAATCCAGCCGTGCCAATCTCCTGTCTCTCATCTTCAATGCCAGTTACCGTTGAATCGAATTGATGATGGCGACGATCGATGCACAGGAGACTCACGGCCGAGGGATCGACTGTCTTTGATGATACTGATGAAGAGGGTAAAGGTGAAGACGCGCAATGGGGTCCTGACGAGGTCAGAGACAATGATGCTACTGGGTCAGGTGGGCTTATGTGATAGTGGGCCTTTTGGTTTTGAAGGATAGATGAGGCAAGGCCCAACAGGACACATTGCAGGTCAAGGAAATCCCCAGTACAGGCGAAAGCAGAAACAGGGGATAACAAAGAAAACCCAGAAAAAGGGGATAGGAGTTGCGACATTCAGCAGGGAAAGTAGTGTTGCCACATGTCCCCAGGAAAAGCCCTCCCTAGTCCCAAATGACCCACAAGAAACACGCATGGAGACCACCACAAACACTTAATTATACCCTCAAATATGTTGATGTATCTTTCTTCACTACACCTTTCCATCATCTCTCTCCTTCTACTTCTTATTTGTCCTTCCGTCGTATGCTCTTTTTAGTCTCCAATTATTGCAGCTATATTGGTCAGTGTTTGGCAGAAGTCACAGTTGTTGTTGCTACAGTTTTTAGGTTAGGTTCTATCATACTCAATAGTTATTAATGGTGGTCATTGGACGCTTTGAGAGTATTTGGGTTTTGAAGTTTATATATTTTTGGTTGTTACGGATTTTTTAAAATGTGTTTCAAGATATTGCTACCATGGATTTTTGTTTTATTATTTTGATCTGCAATACCCTTTCAGAGACAAAAATAGTCTGCCTTCAATACCTTCCAAAAAACTGTGGGATACACAACACTAAACGTGCAAACAGTTGTTGCGAATAAAACATTCGCCCACATATTTCCCAGCCAGCCAAAGGCCGGAAACCAAGCTAGTAAAAGTCTTAATAATTTTACCATCTCTCACATAAGCATCGAATTGACAATCAAACGTGACCTACTTGCTCTACTTTGTTCATGGAAAATGGCAGAAGGCAAAAAGGGGGAATATATAAACAAGCATAGAGATGTTTCATGGACTAGTAGAAGAAGCCGTCAAAGGGGAGGGAAAAGAAAAAGGGAAAGCCACCAGACTTTCTTTGCAAGCCATTGAAACCCTTTATCTTGGCCTAAACCACAAGCACAACAAGTGCCTAGTCAGCATCAAAAGGGTTTGAGTTGAGTTCTTTCGACACATCCATCAAGTTGCCAAACAATAACAATAACCAGGTCTAACTGCTTGACACAAGAATATACTAAATGGAAAAATGGATGAAGGCTAAAGCACACCATTCTTGACATTACTCTCTGTGAAGCCAAACTAATGTCACGCCCTACAATCTTAAATCTTGCTCTTTTGTCGTTTGCTTCAAGTTTCACATAAGATAATCAATATCTATACCTTTGCAAATAAAATATTCCACACATCATCATTCTGGTATCCAAATGTCTCTATCATCAAATGTCAAGCGCTGCTATTGAAAGTGAATTGAAGACAACACGTATATGAAAATGATGCTTGAAAATCCCAGCTTTGGCCTGCCGCGTTAAAGAAGTTTAGGCTAGGTAATAAAATTTGTGACCCAAAAAAAATGAAGAAAGTATGATTTGATGAATGAGATTTGTCTAAAGTGGACCAGTAGTTTTTAGAAAATTTGTGAAGTCGTGAAAATGCATGTCGTGACACTAGAGTACAAGTAAATCCAGAAAAGCAACTATTGTCTCCAAAACCAACCCAGACAAAAACAAAATGGCTTTTATAAGGGTGGTGACTGCCAACCCCATAAAGCATAACTAGATTTGGGCCCGCCCGTTGGACGTCTACATTTTTTCAGTGGAAAGTATTCAAACCAAATATATATTTTTATTTGGTACAATAGAGTTTTCTAACATCTTAAATGATTCATCAACATAAAGTTGAGATCAAAACTAAAATAAAAAAACTTATCTAACCAGACCATCAATATTCTCTTCTTTATTGTCAACATTGAAACTGTCATTAATCATAGTAATCCACACTTTCTAGTGATATATAAAAATAACTTTCATCTTCCCTAAATCATAGAGGGTATAAATGTACATAAAATGGCCAAGAATCATTGTATTGCTAATTGATTGATATTCTGCAGAGAATATTTCTTAAATTCATAGAACTATCGTTGATCGGATCAATTATGTATATGTAAAATCAACTTATCCTTGTACCTTACTATTTTCAATATCTGAAATAGTTTGTGTTGTTGTAACATCCTACTATTAAATATTCGTACTCTTTTGAGTACACACTTGATATAGGTTTATGGGATTTTTTACAGATTATAGACTCATTTATCGATAAAAATACTCAACAATCCATCAAATGATTTTTATCATTGTCATAACTATATATATTTATAAGTTATATATGATGATTAATCAATAGTTATTGATTGCCTGTTATGCCTATCATATGAATATGTTCAAAATTTCCTGAATATATCATACCCACTTATTATTGTTCAATTATCTAATCTTCTTTTATTTCCAGAGCTGAGGTTTGTAAGTTCTCTATGTAATCAAACTTGTTATCTTATACAATGTGAAGTAAATTTTAACTAATCCCGAAATTTATTGTCTCGGTATAATACATTATGTCTCGATTTGTCCACCATGATACTCAAATTTATTTTTGTATATAATATGAAGTAACTTTCAACCAATGCCTCAATTTGTTAACTCTCTAAGACATTATACCTTGATTTGTCAACCATGATACTCAAAATTATTGTCTTATACAATATGAAGCAACTTCCAACCACGCGGTTGTCAAAAAAAAAAAAATTCCAACCACGCATAATATCATGATAATCAAACTTGTTATCTTATGCAATGTGAAGTAAATTTTAACAAATCCCGAAATTTATTGTCTCGATATAATACATTATGTCTCGATTTGTCCACCATGATACTCAATTTGTTAACCGATGACTCTTAAAAATTAGGATTAACTTCAACCAATGCTTATTCACCAATGGCTTAGTAAATCATAGGATTTCTTAGTGAAGATGTTTGATCTTTGGATTAATTTTATATATATATTTGGTTTATATATTATAATTAAATTTTTTAAAGTTAAAACTTTCTTATTAATATAAGTAATCGATAGGGTGCATCTACAACACATTGCGAGCATATGAAACGTTGTACCACATGAATAGTAGGTTTATTATTTTAAACAAATTATTATGTAAATTAAATTTACAAATTCTCATAAACATTAATTGTAATATGTTTTATAACTTAATAGTGGAAGTGTTACTAATTAAAATGAAAGAAGTGTTCTTCCAGAACACATAAATCTACTCACAGACATAATTTATTTTTTTAATAATTTCCTCCTAGTTTTTGTTTTCTGATTAATATCTTTGTTCGGAGACTTAGCTGATTATTAGAAATTTAGGGGATGGTGTGGATTTTGTTTTTTTTCAGATTAATTATTTCATCTTTAATAATTAAATTTACAAAACTAACCTTCCTACAAACACTCAGAAGGCTGGAAATTCCAAATGAAAGAGGTTCTGAGCGAGAACGTCCTGATTATTAGAAATTTAGGGGATGGTGCGGATTTTGTTTTTTTTTTCAGATTAATTATTTCATCTTTAATAATTAAATTTACAAAACTAACCTTCCTACAAACGCTCAGAAGGCTGGAAATTCCAAATGAAAGAGATTCTGAGCGAGAAGGTCCATATAGTAATGGTAGGATATAGATACTAAATCAGGAGGAAATAAAATATTTATATATGCAAAAATCTAGAGAAAAAAGACTATAAATGACCACCCCATTAATTATTATTATTATTATTATTATTTCTCATTGTTAAAAAATTGTTCAAAGCAAGTTGAACACGTGGTTGACCACCTTTAGATCGAAATCGATTTTTGTACGCTGTATTTTTATTTATTTCTCATTTTCATTTTCTTTTTTCTTTGAAAATGACAATTGAACTCTAACCCATCGTTGACGCGTTTCGTATCGAGAACGAGTTTTATCCGCTTTTGTAATTGACATGCTGGGTAAATTGTGAATTTGTTAAAACTGGGTCGATTTAGTCAAAGCAAGTTGAACACAGTGTTGAGAGTTTGGGGTCATGATCGAGTTTTATCAACTTTAGTATTTTTTTTTATCTTTTTCCTTTTGGTTGAGAATGACAATTGAGTCCAAACGCATGGGTATACAACCTAATTTGACCTGACCAAAGCGACTTGAACCCGATTTTACAGGTTTTCGGCGGGAACGAGTTTTATTTGTTTTTGTAATTGGCGTGTTGTGTCAAGTGTGAATTTTTCCAAAACTATATTCAACCAGGTCAAAGCGCGTTGAACCTGGTTTTGACGAGTTTTGAGTCAGTAGCGAGTTTTAGCTTTAGTGTTTTTTCATTTCGCTTTTTCCTTTTGTTTGAGAAAGACAATTGAACCCAAATCCATGGGTATCCAACCTAATTTGACCCGATCAATGCGAGTTCAACCTACTCAAACATACAATCAGTTCTAAATTTTCATAAAGAATGACCACGATTACCTCAAGTCCAAAAAAAAGCAAGCCATACAAATTAAAACTTTAACACCATGCAAGAAGTTTAAACATAAATAATCTATTCGACAACCTACCTTACGCAAGTTCATCGACCATATGCTATTGTAAAAAAACAAACCTATGAAAAGAATGATTAAGAATGAAATATGATTACTTTCACTTTTGGGTAAATATAAACTATTACTCTTTAAAATATTTATATTTGTGATACGCGAAGTGATAGCGAACGGACTTATGCTAGTATAATACATAGTGCACAGCTGATTCAGCCCCAACAACAGCCATATCTCACCAATAACAGTAGATTTGGTCGATGGTGAGGCGTTGTTGAACTTGTGATTTTAGCATCAAAGTGCAGAATCTATTACATTTACCTTCTTGTCTTTCCCTTTCAGCACCAGGGTCCACTTCCACTATAACATGCTGATTCGCCTGGAAGTTCTGGAAATGGAAAAAATCCCAAAATACTCTAATTATTAAAAAAAAATCCCAAAATACAGTACTTATAAACTTATTTCCCAAAATACAGCAGTTTCAACATCATTGTTGTAGACCAAGACAGTGATGGCAATCACCATTTTTGACCAAAACGGTGATAGCATCATCGCTTTTAACCAAAACAGTGATGCTATCACCGTTTTGGACAAAAACGTGATGCTATCATCGCTTTCAACCAAAACAGCGATGCAATCACCGTTTTGGTCAAAAACGGTGATAGCATCATCGCTTTCAACCAAAACGGTGATGAGTTCCGCGCGTTTGTGCGAAACAGTGATAGTCGACCTTATCATCGCCGTTGACGAAAGCGATCACATCATCGCCATGGACAAAAACGGTGATAATTGACCACGTTTTAGAGCCCTGGTAGGTGGGAAATTAGGTCACAGCTACCTAGCTATCACCGCTTTGGACAAAAGCATTGATGTGTTCACCGTCATTGTCCTCAGCGGTGATTGCTGCCGTTTTTTCCTGTAAATACTGACCTCTACTTCCCCTCTTGCTACCTTACAGAAAATTAGTACAAAAATTAGTGTTTTATTAGTCGTTTTCTCAGCTGGTTTG